TCTAGCACTGACTTGAGCCATACTTCCAGCCTTTTATAATACATACATACATACATACATACATATATATATATATATATATATATATATATATATCTTTATGGGATTTGATTTTGCTAACTTTTCCTAGGCTGTCTCTACCTCTGAAGCAGCTGGGATTATGAGCATGCACCACTATGCCCAGCTACTTACTAAACATCTTCTATGTCCTTGGAACTGTATGTAAGTATGTTTAATCATTTAACACTTTCAACCACCTTGTGAAGTTTCCCTGCCTATAATTTTATAGATATGGCAACACAGAGTGGTGAAGGTAGTTGGTCTAATGTACCCAATTCCTAAGCAGTGACACTTAGCTTTTTATTTTTATTTTTTGCCAGTCCTGGGACTTGAACTCAGGGCCTGAGTGTTGTCCCTGAACCTCTTCATACTCAAGACTAGCACTCTACCCACTTGAGCCACAGCACCACTTCCAGCTTTTTCTAAGTAGTTCATTGGTGATTAGAGTCTCACAGACTTTCCTGCTAGGGCTGGCTTTGAACAGAGATCCTCAGATCTCAGCCTCTCCTGTAGCTAGGATTACAGGCATGAGCCACCGGTGCCCAGGTAACACTTAGCTTTTGTACAATCTATCTAAAGCATCTTTGAAAGCCTACCTGTAAATGTCTCACATAATAATGAACAGGGTAGGGCTTTTACCTTTGAGGTTATGCTTCTTATGAACTTTTTATGAACTCCAGACTTCATGGTGACAATCATTTATCAGGCTAATGTTAAGCATATAACCATGGGAAACCCTGTACCAGGTTTTCCCCATTTGTTTGTGTTGCTTTATTTGTGAAAAGTCTATATATTAGCACCTATCAGGGAGGATCTGTAGGATATGAATGTAGGGGGCTGTCTTCCTTCAAGGATAAGAACATTCTAGATGTTAGTTTCTTGGAGAAGTATCTGAAAGATCCAGAATACACATAGGGTCTCTTGCAGGGTATGGACTGGGAGTCTAGTTCTTCTTGCCTTGCTTGCAGAGAGACACAGAGCAGGTCTGTGGCCGGTGCTTCTGTAGTCTATCATACCCCTCTTATGTATTTAAATAAGGATTTTTAGAAGTTCCAGTATACTCCAAAGATGGGGAGGGGGGTTGAAAGCAGGGAATACAGAAGGCACAGGAGAGGGCTGAAGATGGAAGGGACTCGCCAGTCTCCCTGTCTGTTTGATTCTAACACCAAAGCCTTGGAGGTTTAGTTTTGGATTTTATTTCAGGGCGGTACTCTTGCACGCTGGGTACTGGCATCAGGAACACTTCAAAGTTTATTCAACACTGGTGCTAGTTTACTCCTATAATGTTTCTTGAAAGAACTGAAGACAGTCCTGGGATTTTTCTTCCTCTTATAATAAAATAGAAACAGGGCTAGGAATGTGACTTAGTAATCACCTAGCATTCATGAAGCCCTGGGTTTGATTCCTCTGTACCACATAAACAAACAAACAAAAAGCCAAAGTGGTGCTGTGGTTCAACTGGTAGGGTGCTAGCCTTGAGCAAAAGAAGCTCAGGGACAGAGTCCAGGCCCTAAGCTCAAGCTCCAGGACTGACAACACAACAACAACAAAAAAAAAAAAAAGAGAGAGAGAGAGAGAGGGAAAAGAAAAAGAAAAGAAAGAAGAAAAAGAAAGAGAAAAGAAAAGAAAAAATACAAACAGACCAAAGTAGAGATCAACCTGCCTGGATTGTTGACAATGCATACATATTTTCTTTTTTTATTGTGAAAATAATCAAAACAACATTGAGATTCTACCTCACCCCAGTTAGAATGGCTATAATCAAGAACTCTAATAACAACAGATGCTGGAGGGGATGTGGACAGAAGGGAACCTTACCGCATTGTTGGTGGGAGTATAAACTTGTTCAACCACTTTGGAAAGTAGATGGAGGTTTCTCAAAAGACTCCACATAAAGCTCCCCTATGACCCACTTTTGGGCATTTACCCAAATGATCACAAACAAGACCATACTAAAGCTACCAGCACAGCATGTTTATTGCAGCATTATTCACCATAGCTAAGATATGGAACCAACCCAGATGCCCCTCAGTAGATGAATGGATCAAGAAAATGTGGTATATATACACCATGGAATTCTATGTCTGGATCAGAAAGAATGGCATTGCCCCATTTGTTAGGAAATGGAAAGACTTGCAAAAAATTATAGTAAGTGAAGTAAGCCAGGCCCAAAGAAACATAGGTGCCATGGTTTCCCTTATTAGCAATAACTAGTATATGCATACATATTTTCAACGGTCTATTTTACATATTAGAAGAGATACTGAGATCATGTACTGAGATGATTGATTAAGCTCTGCCCAGCACAGCTTTTAGCTCAAGAAGCGATCATCTTAGAGGCATTCCTTTTTTTTTTGAAGCTTCTAAAGTTAGAGGGAAAGAAAGGAGCAATCCTAAAAGTAATCCTGAGCCAGGCACCAGTGGCTCTTGCTTGTAATCCTAGCTACTCAGGAGGCTGAGATCTGAGCATCAAGGCTCAAAGCCAGCCCAAGCAAGAAAGTCCACGAGACTCTTACCCCCACTTAACTATCAAAAAGCTGGCAGTGGAGCTGTGGGTCAAGTGGCAGGGTTCTGGCCTTGAGCAGAAAAGCTCAGGGAAGCACCTAGGCTGAGTTCAAGCCCTGTGATGGGTGCACAGACAGAGACACACAGACACACTCAGAAACATAATTGTGAAATCAACTAAAGCTTTGACGAGATCTTCACAATGTACAATAGATAAAATCGCATCCCACCACCTAAAAGAACCATAATCCCCTTGCTCCTTAACCAACCCCCCTGCTTCTTCTAGAAAAATGACATTTGAAAATGCTGAAACAAGGACACAGGATGACCCATTGCAACAATGATACTCACAAGACACTATGTTGGAAATGAACCTTATAACTTTGGGGCAGGGAGGAGTGGGGGAGGTAGGGGAGGGAAGGGATAGTGGGAGAAAAACAAAGGACAGGGTAAATAAGCTCGACAAGAAATGTACTCATTACCTTACTAACCTAACTGTAACCTCTCAGCACAGCATCTTTACAAGAAAATTAAAAGAAAAAGAAGACTGACATTAGAGATCCTGATTAAACACCTTACTTTGCAGCTTAGGGAGTCTCATGAGATAGTTATGCCAATTTTCATATTATTTTTTCCTGAAAATGTATTGCTAGCAGCTCTAACAACAAACTGAGATCTAAAGAGATTCTTTCAGAGGTACGAACTTCAGAAGGAAGGGGTGAGCTTCCCTTTCCCCTTGGGGCTATAAAGCTCTGTTTGAGATCCATACACAAGGTCAGGGCAAGAGGCACTTGGCCCAGGATTGGGTCTGAAGCCTCAGAACTGACAGGCTGTCATCTCAAAGAAGTATGGGTAGTGCTGGGGCTGCCTGTCCGGTCCCCGATCCACCAGTCACCTCGCTTTGGCCATGGCAAAGAAAAGAAACACGAGACAAGCTATGAATTCAAATCAGCACACAAGATCCAATCATCCGCTGCTCACGGGTGGGTTCCTGCAGCGCAGGACGCGAGTGTGAGCAGAGGGTAAAGAGGCGCTGTCACTTGATAAACATCTGCCCCAAGCCCTGCCCCAGGCTGCGCCACCGAAGCTGCCCAACTTGAGGGGTTTGGGTGTGTGTGTGGGGGGAGAGAACCATCTGCAGACAAGTCTCCAGATACCAGGGCAGACACGGCAAGTAGAGCAAGAGAGAGAGAAGAAGAAGAAAAAATACAACGCTATAGGCTCAAGTCGGGAAACTTTTCCTTAAAACGGCGGCGTTGACCTTTGTGGGCGTCCCGGAAGCCGCTCGTTTATTGGTAAGGAGTTGTAATGACTCGGGGACCCCGATCCGAGAAAGCCGAGGAACTCGGGGAGAGGGAAACAAACGCAGGCGAATCGTACACGGTGTGGTGTGGCGTGTGGCTCAGGATCGTTCTAACAAGCCAGTGCCCTCGGGTTACTTTGATTTCTTCTTCTTCTTCTTCTTTTTCTATTCGTGTCTTTCGGGTCCCTGGTCGGGCTGCACTTTCTGGAAAAACTGGGTACCCAACACCACACTCAGCATCGTTTAAGTCCCCCAGCCCTTTCCAGGCTAAGCTCAGAGTCCTCTGGCCCCTGGCTTCCTGGTACCCTTTGTCAGATCGTGGGTAACCCTGAACCCGGGGTGGCAGCGCGCGCGCCCGCCCGCGCGGGGGGGCTCGGATCGGGGGGAGCGCAGGCAGGGGGAGGGGCACTCTGACCAAGTTGCTACTTTCTCCGGTGCTGAGCTTTAGTTATTTGCTTTTATTTATTTATTTACTTAATAGACTCGGGACCACAAGGTAGATCTGCCAGCCCTCAAGAGCGATCGCAAACTTGGCCCCAGCCTCGCCACTCACTGCGCTGTCCCGGGGATTGTGCCGCATCATCTCCCCGGACACTCCCCAAACATGAACTAGAAATGGACTTCTGGGGGCCCGGAGACCGACGAGTCTCCCGGAATGCCAGCCGGCCCCACCGAGCGCGCAGCCACGGCTCTCGATCGCAACCCAGATGCCCCTTCCTCGGCCCCCTTATCCCGGCACGGCCATCCCTGCCTCGGGTCCAATCACTGCAACGGAGTCTAGCGCAGGACTCCCGGGCAGGTGCGCTCCCAGAGCCGGGCGCAGGACGGGAAGCCCGGGCGCAGTCGGTGCCGCCGCCCAGACCTGGCTCTCCCTCGGGCTCTCAGCTACCCAGCCACCTGTTCCACGAGCACGGAGTTTGTGCCGGCTCCGGCTGCAGCAAGAAGTAATCGGGTCACCCCTTCCCCCGCGCGGTACTCGGGACCTTCAAGGGCGCGCACAGCGTCACCCCAAATCAAAGTGCGCACACCGCGGCGCGCGCCCCGGAGACCAGGGCTGGCTAAATGCCCCGTGTCCCCGCTTCCGATGGGGTCCCCAGTGGGGTCCCCGGGGCTACACGCCGCGCCCAAGTACCTGCCGCGAAGATGCAGAGGGCGAGGAGCGTCTGGCAGACCATGATACCCTGGTGCTCGGGGCCGAGGCCGGCGCGGACGGCGAGGAGTTCGCTGGCGCTGAGCGTGCGCTCCGGAATCGGGCAGCGGCTGCTGGCTGCGGCGGGGGCGGAAGGCGCGGACGCTGGGAGCTGGGAGCGCTCGGCCCGGGCAGCGCGGGTGGCGGCCGGCGTGGCGAGGCGCGGGCGGCGCGGCTCCGTCAGCTGCGCGGTCTCCGGCGCCCAGCGCACTTCTGCTCCATCCCCGCCGCGCGAGCCCCGGGCCGCCTCCGCCACCGCCAAACCACTCCCACCTGGGCCCCGCGGTGACACGGCCACCCCCGGCTTCCCTCTCCCAGCGCTCAGCGCCGCGGAGCCCCGGCCCAGGGCGGCCTCTGCTGGACGCTTCGGACGGGAGCCCCAGCTTCAAGCGCGTTCAGCAAATGCTGGGCAGGGCGCGCTTCCAGGTGCGCCAGGAACAGAGGATGTGTGGTGCATGGACAGATTTCTGTCCTTAGGTCTCCCTCTCTCCCTCCCCTCTTCTCCTTCCCTTTCTCTTCCACCTCTCCCTCTCCTTCCCCTCCCCCCTTCCCCCTCTCTCTTCCTCTTCCCCTCCCTCTCCTCCCTTTTCCCCTCCCTCTCTTCCTTTTTCCTTCTCCCTTTTCTCTGTCTCCCTCCCTTCCCACCTTCCCCTCCTCCTCCCTCTTTCCTCTCTCCCTCCTTCCTCTCCTCTCCCCTCCCCTCCTTTCCTTTCTCCCTCTTTTCCCCTCTCCCCCTCCCCATACTCTCTCCGTCTCCTCCCCCCCACCACAGTATTTAAAGAGAGAATGGCTCCTTCTTTCCAATTATAAGGGCTTTTGATTCCAATTCCCAGACATTCTTCTCAAGTACATTAAACCTTACCCACATTGAACTCCACTGAACTTCCTGGTACCAGAGCCAGGATGTCTGCTGCCCTATTCAGGATCTTACCAGAAAAAAATACCTGGGGAAGGTAGCACTGCTCCTGAGAGCTGAGCCAGGCTGACACATCACTACTTCTAATAAATCCGTGGCGACATAGGCATACAAATGATTTCGAGCTCAGTGGCAAAGCACTTACCTAGTAAGTGCAACCTCCTGGGTTTGGATCTCCAGTGCCAAAAAAAGAAAACAACAACAACAAACAAGAATTATTTCATTTCATTGGTGAGAAAATGAAGATCTAGAGAGAAGGTGAAAGTCGTGATCATGTGACCACAGCTGGTAAGCTTATACATTAAGCCTGTAATAACAAAGGCCCACATTAGCCCTGTGATTCCTGCGTGCTACAGACTAGGCTGCAGAGCTATTTCGGCATTAACAAAGCCATTGACTTCCCACAACAATCCTCTGACGATTTTATTGTTATATTTATATGTGTTTATTATATGTATTATATATTATTGTTATATCCTCATTTTCAGGGAGGAAATGGAGCACAGAGAGGTCTTAGTACTTGTCCAGGTCACACAGCTAGTAAATGGTAATAGGATGCATGCATAAGCACCTTGGCTTAGAAGCCCAAGGCTTCTTCACCTTGCAGATCCACTTATTTCCCCACCCTTATTCACTGATTTTCCCACTTACTCACTTATTTTTCCACCCTTCCCCGGCACCTTGGCCTTGCTTAGTTTTCTCCCTTCAGTCCACTCAGACCCTAGATCCTCTCTCCATACCTGCTCTTATGAGCCCGGTGGTTCCCTAGTCACCGGAGCTGGGAATTGAGGAAATTGGCTAGTTCCTGAATTGCTTAACATCATTAGTAGCTCTGGAGTGCAGCACCCCCACCCCAGCTTCTTCTTTTCTAAAATATTATTCTCTTTGAATAAGTAATTGTAGGAAGGAGTTTCAGTTCAACATGTCAGTTCGTGAGTGCAATGCGTCTTGATTGTCACCCCTTCAATCAGGCCTCCCGTCTCTCCATTCCCCTCAGTCCCCCTAGTTCCAAGTTCACATATTCATACTGAGTTAGATAGATAGATAGATAGGTAGATAGATGGATAGATAGATAGGTAGATGGATGGATGGATGGATGGATGGGTGGATGGATAGGCAGACAGACAGACAGACAGATATCTTTATTGTAAATGGGATGTACAGAGGAGTTCCAGTTACATGAGTAATGACTTTTTGAACATTGTCTCTCCTTTCTTGGCTCTCTCAGTTTTTCCCTCCTGTTCCCACCCACAAGTTGTATAGTTCATTTCTATGACTGCTTTCTCCTACCCTTCCTCTTTTTGTTCGGCTACTCCTTCTCTTGGACCTCTCCAGCTTCCTGACATTCATTTTGTTAGATTATAAGTTAGTTGTTCAGATGTTTCTCCTCAGGAACCAGAGGCTCTTTTCTCTTTCTGTATGGGTTCATTGTTTTGGCCCATCTGTGACCAAGATGAAATCTCTGTCGGGCTTTGCCATCGCCATTGCAGATCTTGCTCATACTTCCTCAACTGGATTAAATCTGGCTCATATTTTCCTTTGATTTTTGTAAATCTATTGATTGCTGTTGGCATGAGAACTAAAAGATGCCATAAGCAAGTCCTCCAGCCTACCCCTACCCTCCCCCCCCCCCCCCCCAAGCCTTGGCCAGAGAAACTGAAAATTCAATTTGCTAAACATGTTTTCCCAATGCTTTGACCTCACAGCCCTTCTGGTTTCTAGTGTAATCTACTCGATTATGAAAAATGAGTGCATCTGGATGTTGGTTGTCATGGAGGTAGATAGAGCATTGCTGGGACATCCACCCATTGAGGCCCCAGTGCCTTTAAAGAGGGTGATCCAAGTAAGTGACTCTGTGGCAGATAGAAAGGGTTTGAAAATCTATGCACAGAAAACCTTACTCAACTGAAATTCAACTAAACTTGAATGGAGTCCCTCTGGAGTGCAAAACATGTGCAACTCTTTGATATCAAAGACGATGTTTGGTACTGCACGAAGGATCATCCCTACATCCCAATCAGCTAACATTTCCAAGACTCTTCGCTGTATACAGAATCAAGTTGAAGTAATTTCTTTAAATAAAATAATTCATTATAATTGCTGATCGAACCTTGCAAATTCAGTAAGTTAGTTCAAGCCTAGTTGATTATTTGTTCCAAAACTTGTGACAGGCTGTGGGGAATATAATGACGATAATGTCCAAGGAACCTAGATTATGTTGCTATAACAAACTCATTCAAAAATCTCTGAGCTTAGGCAATGGCAGTTTATTTATCTCCATGGATTGTTATTATTATCATTATTATTATTAGTCTCCAACAGATCTAAACTATGTTTCCAATAGCCATGTTCTATGTTAGGACTCAGTACCATTTTATTGAATCTGCTTCTACATTCTGGGAGATAAGGGAAGATGGAAGAGGGTAATGAAGTGCAGCACTAAAATCTCACTAAAGCTACCGGCACAACTATGCTTATCACAGCATTATTTACCATAGATAAGATAGGGAGCCAACCCAGATGCCTCTCAGTAGATGAATGGATCAAGAAAATGTGGTATATTCACACATTATATACATACAGTGGAATTCTATGCTTCCACTGGAAAGAATGACACTGCCCCATTTGTAAGGAAATGGAAAGACTTGGAAAAAACCATATTAAGTGAAGTAAGCCAGGCCCAAAGAAACATAGGTCCCATGGTTTTCCTTATTAGCAAAAAATAGTATACCTATAATCTTAGCAGATGAGCAGAATAGCTCAATAGCTATGCACATATGACCGTATAAGATGATGCTAAGCAAAATGAACTCCAAGACATGGACACAAGAGGTTCTTCTTTGTTGTTGTTTTTAAGGTTCTATGTGATTTTTTTTGTTTCTTTTGTATGCTCTTCCCCCTGTGGTATATCACTGTATTTGATTTTGTACCCTGGTATTGTATATGTGTTTATCTAAATTAGGGAAGGGAAGGGGAACAAAATAATGGCAAGATAAAGGACCAGGGGGAACCAATGCAACAGAAATACTCACAAGACACTATGTGGGAAATGATCTGTAGAACTTGGAGGGAGGGGTTGGGTGGGAAGGGAAAATGGGAGGAAAATGAGGGAAGGTAACAAGTTCAATAAGCAATGTACTTATTGCCTTACTCAAGTAACTATGACCCCTCTGTACATCACCTTGACAATAAAAAAATCTTATATCTGGAAGTGATGCTTTGTACTTCATAGCATTTTATTAGCTGAAGAAAGGCATTGGCTATGCTCAACCTGAAGGAAGGAACAGAGCTCAATCTGGTGTGCCCTAGGGAGAAGAAAAATAGAGGACAGGGAACAATTTTGACATGTGCCGTAGTGTTTTTTTTCTGCCATCAGGTAGTTTCTATTTGAGAGTCAAACATTAAATGTACAATCACCAAAATATATATAATAATTTATTATGCATATGCTACAAGTAATATCCACTAACACATATTGTTTCAAGTGTTATATACATTTGGTATATATATAGTATAATTATGCATATCATATCAACATATTCATTAGACATATACATTGTGAAATAATTATATATTATATATACATTCATTAATTGAAGCTTTACACTGTTTGAGGTAGATACTGAAGAATATGCCACTCCCAAATATACCTCTTTAGCATAGGATTATTTTGAGAAACAGTACTTGGAGGAGAAGCTCTGAGAATAGAATAGAAATTACCTTTCTATAAGAATTTACATGCATAAAGGAAACGTCCATTTGTAAGGGGGTCTCCTGAGTATTAAGAAAGAGAAGGACCTGGGTGTTGGTGGCTCATGCCTATCATCCTAGCTGCTCAGGAGTCTAGGATCTGAGGACTGAGGTTCAAAGCCAGCCCAGGCAGGAAAGTCCCTGAGACTCTTATCTCCAATTAATCACCAGAAAATGGAAGTGGCACTGTGGCTTAAAGTGGTAGAGCACTAGCCTTGAGCAAAAGAGCCCAGGGCCTGAGTCCAAGCCCCATGACTGTCAAAGAGTAAGTGAGTGAGTGTCTGAGAGAGAGAGAGAGAGACAGAGAGACAGAGAGACAGAGAGACAGAGAGAGACAGAGACAGAGACAGAGACAGAGAGAGAGACAGAGAGAGAGACAGAGAGAGAGAACTCAAGATTACTGGAGACACTTATCAGTGGAGAAGGTACAAATTAAATATGTTTAACAACCCTTGCTCTGCTTTACCGAACTTTTTCATAACTGGTCTCTCCTGTAACACCATTTTTTGTCTCTTTGTTTTATTGGAAGATACTGTTTATTTTGTGTTATTGT